ATGAGGGCTGTGATTGCAGGGATGTTTTCCAGGCTTCTCTCCGTGCCTTATGCCTAGCTGTCTTCCCTCCGTGTCTACTCACATTGACATCTCTCTACTCATATCTCTACGCCCAAATATCCCCTTTCAATAGTGACTTCCATTAAGGCCAGCATTAATAACCTCAATTTAACTTGATTGCCTTTGAATTAATCCTATCTCGAAATCAATGCCACATGTGAATTTCAATGTAGCATTTTGTGGAAAGGCAATTGAACCTATAGTGGCAAGGTAAGTGGCAAAGCTATATGTATATCATTATATCATTACACACGTGTGTGTATGTACATATATGTGTATATATAAAATGGCACATGTATCTTTAGGAAGCCAAAATCCAAAAAATCATATTTTAAAATTTGCACGGCCACATTGTTGCCTTGTGTGAAACTTCTGAGTAGGAGGCTGAGCTCTGGAGGAAGTTTGTAAAGAAAACAATGCCATTTCTATGTATTTTTAGAATTTTTTTGCAACAAATGCATGTACTATTTACTTTTAAGTAAATATTGAAATAACCCTAAGAAAGGAAGAGAGACACTCCTGTAGTCACATTAACAGTAACCTGATGGAAGAGAAAAAAGTCCCTGAAAGTTAAATGGCTTAACACGAGTTTATTTTTGTGCAAATAAATTCTGATTGAAGTTGGCAGGGTGTTGTGGCTGAATTGTGTCCCTCTTTCCAAGTTCGTATACCCAAGTCTCAAGCTCCAGGACTGCAGAGTATCACTGTATGTGGAGATAGACCCTTTGAAGAGGCAACTAATGTAAACTGAGATCTTATGGTGAGGATCATATTCAATATGACTGGTATCCTCATAAGAGGAGCACATTAAGACACAGACACACAGACAAGGAACAACCATGGAAGAATTCACTGAGACAGTGGCATGAGCAAGCCACGGAGGAGGCCAGGGGAAGAAATCAAACTAATAACACCTTGATCTTAGATATTTAGCCTCCAGAAATGTGAGAAAATACAATTCTATTGTTAAAAAGTCACCCAGTTTGTGGTATTCTGTGATGTTTATATCAAGCTAAATCCACAGCAGGTCCTGGCTTTCACCTAAGCCAGGAATCCAAGCTGCTTTTACCTTGTAGCTCCACATCACAACAGATGTTAAGTACTGAACAGAAACGGAAGCATGGGAAAGATGCACTGGCTTCTGTCTAACTACAAATGAACCAGCCCAGGAAAGGCAAAGCTAGATAAGACAGAAGCGGGCACTTGTAGTCTCTTCCTCTGCGTTATTACGGTGCTCAATGAAAAAGCAATTATTATAATTGATGACAGTAAGTCTCTTCATTGCTTGGGATTGTTTCTGGGAATGTCTGCATAGCCTTGAAATCTTCCAGCTTTTTCTTGCACCTATGAGGTGACTGGTGGTTTCAAATACAGGATTACATGTAGTTTTAAAACAATTCTGTAAGTCTTCGCAGGGAGGGTCAACATTAATCCCTCAATATCACTTGGCACTGTCCTTTAATAACCTATACAATTTATTAGGTAAAATTCTCTCATATTTTTGTGTATGAAAAATAACCTACCCCTTTGAGCTCTGCTACCCTGCATATGACGGAACATTCACAGACAGCTGCACACGTGCCTGTGGTTCACTGCAAGCCAGGATTTTCCTGTGGAGCACGTACACACACAAGACACAGTGAAAGGATGCTTAACTATTGCTTATTTCTCATCAGAGCTGGCATGTAAAAGCTAAGTACCCGCATCACCTTCTAGGCAGTCTTCAAGATTTTGTTACGGTTTATTTCTTTGCAATTCACCTTCTAGTAGATCATTAGAAAGCAATGTCTATAGCCTTTTCCTCATCCACAAAGTTTATGAAGGAAATATTGAGATAGTCATTTACAAAAGCTTATTCATCTCTGTTTGTGTTCAGTGCCCTGTTTCAAATAATGCATCTCATTAAAATCATACTACAAGTATCAAATATTCTGAAGATTTCAAATAGGTTATATCTGACCTTAGGATTACACATCCCACAAACCCATATGTTATGTGAAATCAGATTTTACTCTGCAACCTATTTGGAAATACACTGAGAGTGTGTTGAAGATGCAACCTAGAGTATGGAAATGTCACTATCCAAAGTAGATATTCACATCGAAGGGCCTTTATCATGGGAGGCCACAGGGAGGGATGGATCACTCAGGGAACTTTCTCAAGGGACAAACAGTGGTCTCATCAGGGAAGGGCAGATGTCTCTTGGGCTCTTGCACTGAGGGCTGGGCACAGGTTTCAGAAGTGCGAGACCACAGTGAGAAGTTAGTCAGCAGAGCCAGCTTCCAGGAGTTGCTGAAGGCGCTGGGGAGACCAACTGGAGGGTGTTGTAATGTGGGAAAGGCCTGGGGCTGGACATCAAAAGCACTAACACCCAGAGTCAGCTCTCAAGAAACTTAGGGCTCATAACAGGAAGAATTTAGCTAAAAGAAAGCTAAGCGATCCTGAATGGTATTGATTCCCATTGTCACCTTTCTTCTCTAGGCCCATCTAAATACTTTGTCACAGGTTTCTTCTTTATGTTACCTGGAAGACATTAGGGAAGTGTGAAGAAGAAGTGACTTAACAGGAAGAAGAGTATGCTCAGGCTGAGAGGAGCAGGGACAATTAGTAAGGTCCTAGATGATTTCAGAACTCAAGCCCCAGCCCAGTCACTTTCTAATCATGTGATCATCATGGGATCTTGGGGAATTTGTCATGAGCTATAACCTCAGCTTCCTCGTCTGTAAACGGGTTTGATAATCCTATGCTGTAGAATTGCTGGAATGTATGTAATGTGAGTAAAACACACCAACACAGCTTAGCATGTCTTGGAATTTTAATAAATGGCAGTTGTCATCAATACTGATTATAACCCCAAAGTCCACACCACTGTCTTTTGAGAAAATTCTTATTTATCAAAACCTCAAGAACATCTAGCTGAATATGTCATGGAATATGAACGGAAACAAAAGTTTTACTTCATAGACATAACTCAGGACATTTTCTTTCTAAGCGATATACTGTATCATTCAAGTAAGGAGAGGCTTACACAGTTGAATGCAACTCAATGACTATAGATTTTGAGTTAAGGACCAACTCCTTTTCGCCTTCCCCACTGATCATCCATCAATCCCGAGTTTATTTAAAAGCTCCACTAAAAATCTACATTTCTTAGCCTTGTCCTCATTACTTTCAAATAACTCCCTCTAAAACTCCTGTCAATGGAATGGGCTTAGGCTCTCCCAGGCCAGGCAGATGGTGTCAGCCCGGAAGCTTCTGAGCACCACATCGGGAATTCTCACCACATTTCTCAGGGAAACCCTTGCAGATGATGGGGATCAGCCACCTGAATCCTTGCACTGTGTTCAAGCTCCCCAGTGACACAGCCACAGGACACACCTTCCATGACTTCTATGTGGAGACTCCTCTCTACTTCATCCTCCACAGAGCCAACTGCTCAAGTAGTTTCCATTCAGGCTTTTCTCTCACCTTCACAAGGAAGTCACTGGGCCCTACCACCCGGCTTCAGAACAATCAGCTCCCACAGAAGCACCTGCAGTTTCCCAAGCCCAAAACTGCCTTAGCTCAGGAGCCTTTTACTCAGAAGCCTCCATCTGAGTCTCACCTCCCCACTCGTTTTGAAACTTACTCTTTAGATTGTAGAGAAAATCTTACCACATTCCTGATATGGCGTCTGTAGCTACACTCTACTGTTTTAGGGGTAGGGATAAGTCTTGCTTTTGTAAGTAACTTCACTACTAACGGTAGCTACAAGCAAATGCGGATATAATGGTCATCAAATAAACGAGTCACAGGCACTTTTATTTATTACAATTTACTTTCTGCTACTTTCTTACATAAGCCAAGCAAACCAGGTATGTATCTTTAGTTTCAAGAACAACAAACTAAAGGGCATGAGTAAAGCAAATATTAACAAGCTTTACTTTGTTCCACTATTTAAGTGCAGTTTGCCTTCACAGTTTCAAGACAATTCCTACAGCAATACCACATTCACCTGTGACCATCACAAAAAATGAGGCAGAAGGTTTCCCAGTAATGGTGTGTTTGTGTGTGTTTTTGTTTTTACAAAATATCAAACTGTTACTCTTAAACCAGATAAACAGCAATACACAGTGGCGACTAATATTCATAAACTAAGATTCTGAAGCTATTTAAACCTGTAATTAATAGGAAAAGCATTTGAAAAATACGCAAAAGGAAAACAGGTAAATCCCTTAACCACCCATATGGAACAAGTGCAAACAACTGTATTCTCTAACTTCAGCAAGCCCTCCACACTTAGAAACTCGACTGCCCTCTTCAAACTCAGAGGGAAAAATCTGCAACTTCCTCAGAAGAGAAGCTGGGGGACACGACACTGGAGCTTGCACTGTCTGTGGCAGTGGAGAATCATCTGTGAATTGTCAATTGGGGCCTGGGCTCTCTTCCCATCTTTCAAAGCATCCTTGTACGAGGGTGGGAAGGAAATAGGGACGGTATTGTTGAGCATGGCCAAAAACTCTACTACTTTCCTCTTACTGGTTTCTGAATGAGCTCTTGGACCCCACAGGAATTCGTAACGTGGAGGAGCAGTGTTGAGCACCTCCGGTGTACTCTAGGTAATGTTCCTGCACCCAAACTTTAGTGAGAGCTCCCTGGGCTCCCCCAAAGAGATAAGTGCTCCCTCCCCAACTCCTTGCACCCCTATTCCCTCAGCACATCCCCAGATGACCTCCTCAGAGGCACAAGTGCCCTTCATGAAGATGATACTCAGAACAAGAAACAAGAGGTGGTTCTGGGGCACGCCCTGCTCATCACTCACACTCCCCTCACAGCTGGAGTGCTAATGTGTTTACAAAGGCGTGGAGTCTTCAGGGGTCCTACCTCTGTCAGGGAAATGCCAAAGAATCTCCTGAAGGCACTCTGGGCTGCAGAAGATCATAGGAAAGTAGCCCGTGTACCTGTTGATGACATTCGTCACCATCTCTGCCTTTGTGACAGGCTGCTTCGCTTGATATCTGAGGAGAAGAAACCGCACCAACTCGTCCACCTTTTCATCCAGTGTATAAGTGAACAGAGCTCAAGCTCTCTATCAAGGACTCACTGTCTGTCAAGGACTCGCTCTCTAGCAAGGTGTCTGAGGTGCTTGTATCTTCATCACTGGGCTGCTGAACTCTTGCTGAATGGGGCTCAAGGGAAATGGAGGAGGAGGAAGGAGCTCACAGAACTCTGGAGGAGGCTGGGGCGGGCCCCTCAGGAGGACTCTGAGGACTCTCAGGGGAACTCTGGGAAAGACTCAATGAAGTGGAGGAGGAGGAGGAGCTCACAGGTCGCTGGAGAGGAGGCTGCGCAGGCCCCTGAGGAGGACTCTCAGGACTCTCAGGAGAACTCTGGGAAAGACTCAATGAAGTGGATGAGAACGAGCTGACAGGTCTCTGGAGTGGAGACTGGTCAGGCCCCCTAGGCAAGACTCTGGGGTTCCCATGGGGACTCTGCAGAACTCAACTAAAGTGTAGAAGAAGGAGCTGAGAGGTCTCTGGAGAGGAGACTGAGCGGGCCCCTCAGGGGGTCTCTGAGGTCTCTCCGGGAAATTCTGGGGAAGACTCAGTGAAGTGGAGGAGGAGCAGATAATCACAGGACTCAGGAGAGGAAGACAGGAAGTCCTCCCCCTGAGGAGGACTGTGAGGGGAAAGGAGAGGAGACAAGGAGACCTCCCACTCAGGAGGACTCTGAGGTGTCTGGAGAGGAGACTGGGGATCCTTCCCATCAGGAGGACACGGAGGAATCTGGAGAGGAGACAGGGAGGCCTCCCTCACAGGAGGACTATGAGGATACTGGAGAGAGAGACAGGGGAGGCCTCCCTCACAGGAGGACTAACGAGATACTGGAGAGAAGACAGAGTCCTCCCCCCTCAGGAGGACATTGAGGAATGTAGAGGAGACAGGGAATCCTCCCCTCAGAGGACTCTGAGGTCTCTGGACAGGAGACTGGGGAGTCCATTCCCCTCAGGAAGCTCTGAGGACTATAGAGGGGAGACTGGGCGGAGGCCCTCAGGAGGCTCTGAGGACTCTCAGGGAAACTCTGGGGAAGAAGACTCAGCAGAAGTGGAGAGGAGCAGATGGTTACAGGACTCTGGAGAAGACTGGAAGTCCTCCCCTGAGGAGGACTATGAGGAAAATGGAGAGGGAGACAGAGTCCTCCCACTCCAAGGAGCTCTGAGAATCTGAAGGGGAGACTGAAGTCCTCCCCCTGAGGAGACTATGAGGAAAGTGGAGAGGACAGCGAAGTCCTCCCACTCAGCAGGAATCTGGAAAGGGGCACAGAGTCCTCCCCCATCAGGAGACACGTATGAGTCTGGAGAGGAGTCACAGAGTCCTCTGACTCAGAGGACCCTGAAGAATCTGGAGAGGAAAGGGTGTTCTCCCCCTCAGGACTCTGCGGAATGTGGAGATGAGACAGAGGTCTCCCCCTCAGGAGGACTCTGAGGACTATGGAAAAGAGACTGGGAGTTATCACCCTCAGTAGGGCTCTGAGGAATCTGGAGAGGAGACTGGGGAAAACCCTCCAAAAGTACTTTGAGAACTCTCAGGGGAACTCTGGAAAGACTCAGTAAAGTGGAGGAAGGAGGAGCTCTGGGGAATCTGGAGAGAGACCAGGGAAAACCTTCAAAAGGACTTTGAGTACTCTCAGGGGAACTGTGGAACAGACTCAATAAAGTGGAGGAGATGGAGGAGCTCGCAGGATTCTGAAGAGGAGACTGAACGTCCTCCCACTCAGGAGAACTCTGAGGTGTCTGGAGAGGAGACTGGGGATCCTTCCCATCAGGAGGACACAGAGAATCTGGAGAGGAGACAGGAGGCCTCCCTCACCCAGGAGGACTATATGAGGATACTGGAGAGAAGACAGGGAGTCCTCCCCCTCAGGAGGACATTGAGGAATGTGAGAGGAGGCAGGGAATCCTCCCCCTCAGGAGGACTCTGAGGTCTCTGGACAGGGAGACTGGGGGAGTCCGTCCCCTCAGGAAAGGCTCTGAGGACTATAGAGGAGACTGGGCAGGCCCCTCAGGAGGGCTCTGAGGACTCTCAGAAACTCTGGGAAGACTCAGCAAGTGGAGGAGGAGCAGATGGTTACAGGACTCTGGAGAGAAGACTGATCCTCCCCCTGAGGAGGACTATGAGGAAAATGGAGAGAGACAGGGAGTCCTCCCACTCAGGAGAATACAAAGGAATCCGAAGAAGTGAAAGTCACTCCCCTGAGGAGGACACTATGAGAAGTGGAGAGGGAGACAGCAGAGTCCTCCCACTCAGCAGAATCTGGAAAGGAGACTGGAAGTCCTCCCATCAGGAGGACACGTATGAGTCTGGAGAGGAGTCTAGAGTCCTCTGACTCAGAGAGGACCCTGAAGAATCTGGAGGGAGGAGAAAGTGTTCTCCCCCTCAGGAGGACTCTGCGGAATATGGAGATGAGACAGGGAGTCCTCCCCCTCAGGAGGACTCTGAGGACTATGGAAAAGAGACTGGGAGTTACCACCCTCAGTAGGGCTCTGGGAATCTGGAGAGGGAGACTGGGAAAACCCTCAAAAGTACTTTGAGAACTCTCAGGAACTCTGGAAAAGACTCAGTAAAGTGGAGGAAGGAGCTCACAGGAATCTGGAGAGGAGACTGGGGAAAACCTTCAAAAGGACTTTGAGTACTCTCAGGGGAACTGTGGAACAGACTCCAATAAAGTGGAGGAGATGGAGGAGCTCTTGGGATTCTGAAGGAGACTGGACGTCCTCCCACTGGGAGGACTCTGAGGAGTCTGGAGAGGAGACTGGGGATCCTTCCCATCAGGAGGACACGGAGGAATCTGGGAGAGGAGACAGGGAGGCCTCCCTCACAGGGCTATGAGGATGCTGGAGAACGGGAGGCCTCCCTCACAGGAGGACTATGAGGATACTGGAGAAGACAGAGTCCTCCCCTCAGGAGGACATTGAGAATGTAGAGAGGAGACAGAGTCCTCCCCTCAGGGGACTCAGAGGTCTCTGGACAGGGAGACTGGGAGTCCGTCCCCTCAGGAAAGGCTCTGAGGGACCATAGAGGGGAGACTGGGTAGGCCCCTCAGGAGGGCTCTGAGGACTCTCCAGGAAACTCTGGGGAAGACTCAATGAAGTGGAGGAGGAGCAGATGGTTACAGGACTCTGGAGAGAGAAGACTGGGAAGTCACTCCCCTGAGGAGGACTATGAGGAAAATGGAAGGAGACAGAGTCCTCCCACTCAAGAGGAGCTCTGAGAATCTGAAGGGGAGACTGAAAGTCCTCCCCTGAGGATATGAGGAAAGTGGAGGAGACAGCGAGTGCTTCCCACTCAGCAGGGAATCTGGAGAAGGAGACTGGAAGTCCTCCCCATCAGGAGGACACGTATGAGTCTGGAGAGGAGTCACAGAGTCCTCTGACTCAGGAGGACCCTGAAGAATCTGGAGAGGAGAAAGGGTGTTCTCCCCCTCAGGAGGAGACTCTGAGGAATATGGAGATGAGACATGAGGAGTCCTCCCCCTCAGGAGGACTCTGAGGGATATGGAAAAGGGCCAGGAGTTATCACCCTCAGTAGGGCTCTGAGGAATCTGGAGAGGAGACTGGGGAAAACCCTCAAAAGTACTTTGAGAACTCTCAGGGGAACTCTGGAAAAGACTCAGTAAAGTGGAGGGAAGGAGGCTCACAGGAATCTGGAGAGGAGACTGGGGAAAACCTTCAAAAGGACTTTGAGTACTCTCAGGGGAACTGTGGAACAGACTCAATAAAGTGGAGGAGATGGAGGAGCTCGCAGAGGATTCTGAAGAGGAACTGGACGTCCTCCTCAGGAGAGCTCTACAAAGGAAGTCTAGAGAACTGGGGATCCCTTCCTGTCAATGAGACACGGAGGAATCTGGAGAGGAGACAGGAGGCCTCCCTCACGGGAGGACTATGAGGGAAACTGTAGAGAAGGCGGGAGTCCTCCCCCGTCAGGAGGACTCTGAGGTGTGTAGAGAGGAGACAGAGTCTCTCCCTCAGGCGGACTCACCAGGGGATTCACCAGAGGAGACTGGGGAGTCGGTTCCCTCAGGAGGAGCTCCTGAGGAATATAGAGGAGACTGGGCAGGCCCTCAGGAGGACTCCGAGGACTCTCGGGAAACTCTGGGGAAGACTCAATGAAGTGGAGGAGAGGCAGATGCTCTGGTACTCTGGAGAGAAGGCGGAAGTCCTCCCCTGAGAGGACTGTGAGAGCGGAGAGGAGACAAGGGGGCCTCCCACTCCAGGAGGACTCTGGGAGTCTGGAGAGGAGACTGGGGATTTCCCGTCAGTAGTACACGGATGAATCTGGAGAGAGGGGACAGGGACGCCTCCTCACAGGAGGACTATGAGGATACTGGAGAAGACAGAGTCCTCCCCTTCAGGACCTCTGAGGAATGTAGAGAGGAGACAGGAATCCTCCCTCAGGAGGACTCTGAGGTCTCTGGAGGGCCCAGGAGTCGTCCCTCAGGAAGGCTCTGGGGACTACAAAGGAGACTGCGCAGGCCCCTCAGGAGGACTCTGAGGGCTCTCAGGAAACTCTCGAGAAGACTCAGTGAAGTGGAGGAGGAGCAGATGGTTACAGGACTCTGGAGAGAAGACTGGAAGTCCTCCCCCTGAGGAGGACTATGAGGGAAAGAGGAAGGCAGAGTCCTCCCATCAAGGAGGGGACTCTGAGGACTATGGAGAGAGACTGAGAGTTGTCTCCATCAGGAGGACTGAGGAATCTGGAGAGGAGACTGGACAAAGCCCTCAAAAGTACTTTGAGAACTCTCAGGAGGGAACTCTGGAAAAGACTCAGTAAAGTGGAGGGAAGGGAAGGGCTCACACAGGAATCTGGAATGGAAAACCCTCAAAGGACTTTGGTACTCTCAGGAACTGTGGAATAGACTCAATAAAGTGGAGGAGATGGAGGAGCTCGCAGGATTCTGGAGAGGAGACTGGATGTCCTCACCCTCAGGAGAAGCTCTGAGAAATCTGGAGAGGGCAGAGTCCTCCCCCATTAGGAGGACTCAGAGGCTTCTGGAGAGGAGACTGGGAGTGAAGTAAGCCCTCAGGAGAACTCTCAGGAATCTGGAGAGGAGACTGGGAGTCCTCCCCATCAGGAGGACACATATGAATCTGGAGACGAGACAGAAGTCCTCCCACTCAGGAGGATTCTGAGGAATCTGGGGAGAGGAGAAGGGCGTTCTCTCCCTCAGGAGGACTCTGGAAAGGAGCCTCGGAGTCCTCCCCCTCAGGAGAACTCTGAGGACTATGGAGAGGAGACTGGGAGTTGTCTCCTGGGAGGACTCTGAGGAATCTGGAGGAGACTCGGCAAAACCTCAAATGTACTTTGAGAACTCTGGAGGAACTCTGGAAAGGGAGCTCAGTAAAGGGGAGGAGGAGGAGGAGCTCAGAGGAATCTGGAGAGGAGACTGGGGAAAACCTCAAAGTACTTTGAGTACTGTCAGAGGAACTCCTGGGGGAACACACTCAATAAAGCGGAGGGAAGGAGGAGGAGTCAGGAATCTGGGAAGGGCTAGGAAAACCCTCCAAAGTACTTTGAGTACTCTCAGCGGAACTCTGGAAAACACTCAATAAAGTGGAGGTGAAGGAGGAGGTCACATGAATCTGGGGAGGAGACTGGGGAAAACCCTCAAAAGTACTTTGAGTACTCTCAGCGGAACTCTGGAAAACACGATAAAGTGGAGGAGGAGTCACAGGAATCTGGAGAGGAGACTGGGAAAACCCTCAAAAGTACTTTGGTACTCTGTGAGAACTCTGGAAAACACTCAATAAAAAGTGGAGGTGAAGGAGGAGGTCACATGAATCTAGAGGAGGAGACTGGGAAAATCCTCAAAAGTACTTTGAGTACTCTCAGTGGAACTCTGGAAAACACTCAATAAAGTGGAGGTGAAGGAGGAGGTCACATGAATCTGGGGAGGAGACTGGGGAAAACCCTCAAAAGTACTTTGAGTACTCTCAGCGGAACTCTGGAAAACACACAATAAAGTGGAGGAGGAGGAGGAGTCACAGGGAATCTGGGAGAGACTGGGGAAAACCCTCAAAAATGCTTTTGAGTACTCGTGAACTGGAAAGCACTCAATACAGTGGAGGTGAAGGAGGAGGTCACAGGAATCTGGAGGAGGAGACTGGAAAGCCCTCAAGGACTTTGAGAACTCTCAGGGGAACTCTGGAAAACACTCAATAAAGTGGAGGTGAAGGAGGAGGTCCACAGGAGTCTGGGGAGGGAGACTGGGAAAACCCTCAGGACTTTTTTGAGAACTCTCAGGGGAACTCAAACATAATAAAGTGGAGGTGAAGGAGGAGGTCACAGGAATCTGGGGAGTTGGAAAACCTCAAAGAGGACTCTGAGTACTCTCAGGGGAACTCTGGAAAAGACTCAGTAAAGTGGAGGAGAACAAGGAGCTCGCAGGATTCTGGAGAGGTGACTGGACGTCCTCACCCTCAGAGGAGCTCTGAGAAATCCAGAGGAGACAAGGAGTCACCGCCTCAGGAGGACTCTGAGGATTCTGGAAAGGAGACTGGGAGTCGCCCTCAGAGACTCTGGAGAAAGACACAAGTCCTCCCCTCAGGCGACTCTGTGACTCTCAGCGGAACTCTGGAGAGGAGCTTCGGCATCCCAGCAGCAGGCATCTCCTTGTCTGGAGCGTAGAATCCCAGAGAGGATGAAGATGAGAAGGAAGAGGAGGAGGAGGAGGAGGGAGATCAAAAATGCAGGAGAGGAAGAAAATGGAGGAAGGCCACTCCTTCCTCATGTGGGGATCCTCTGCATCTACCAACTCCAGTATGAAATTTGGCTTCTGGAAGCCTTGCTCAAAGCTGGGGCATGGAAGGTTTGGAGAGAGAGGGCTTCATGAATATTGTTCAGGAGCAGCATGGTAAACGTGTGAACTTTGAATGGGCATGATAGGATCCCACAGGACTGGGGAGAGAGAGGGACAGTGCCAGTGGCCTCAGCTGAAACTCACCCATGATGGCTCTGGCAGGCCGGCTGACAGCTCTTCTCTTACGGTGTGCTCTAGGGCCTCACAGGTCGCCTGTCTTCCTAGGAGGTTTGTCTGCGGGAACCTGTAGGAGGATGTGAAAGCACCTCAGGGGCACAGCTGGCAGAGCAGAGTCCCGAGGAGGCACCAGGAATGACAGTGGGTGGCTCGGGCTGGGTGCTGCCAGGTCTGCCCCCTGTTTCTGGGGTAGGAGCCTTTGGTACAGAGTCAGGCTGTGCACTCACCTTGACTCCTGGCCGCCCAGGCCTCTCTGCTGTGGTGCTTTTGGGATGTATGTGTCCCTGCACCCAGGTCTTCAACTCCTGGTTCCTGGGCACCTGCAGAGGAAGTGAGGGAGACCCTCCAGCTATGACGTCTGCTGAGGCTGGCCAGACTCCCAGAGTCACACACAGTTCTGAGGTTCGTGGCCCCCTCAGCATTCAGTTAGCATTGTCACATGTTCTCAGACAGGGGCCAGGCCCCAGCACTCTGCTGGCCTGAGGCAAACCCTCAGAACCCAAACTCTGGCAGCCTGAGCAGTGGGACGTAATGAGTGGCAGCCACCTCCCAGCACTCTGGGGGTGATCCAGGTGGCACCTCACTTCTGATGCACATGTGACCCTCAGTCCTCACTCTTGTCCCCAGCAGGGTCACAGGAGTCTTCCTCTGCCGGCTGGGAAGCAGCCTCCCCGTGCCCAGGCTTGCCAGGACCCCCAGACCAGGCCCTCCCTTCCACAGGTCCCTACACCCCGTCGCAGCAACAGAGGGTGGCGCTTCAGCCTGGGCTTGACTGGGAAGCTCTACGAGGCTGATTTGAAAGCTGAGGTGGGAATCTCCGGGGAAACCATCCTCTGAGGTGGGGTTCCCGGTCTCCTCAATGTCTTCCCTATTTATTCCCCAGAGAGGCGGCATCTCCTCCCTTCACTCTGCCGTGAGGACCGTCCACTCAGCCTGGCTGCCATCTTCCTTTCCCGCGAACTACAAGTCCCGGCAGAGCATGGCCGGGCAGCTTCTCTGTAATTGAGAGGGGTCCTCAGTTCTCCTCGGGGTCTCACCTTGAAGACTGGATAGGTTTAAGACTCTTCCCTCTGCTGACCTGAGGCAGGCCTCGTCACAAAATACCTCAGGTTCTTCAGCCTCCCAAGATGGGCGCCGGAGAGGAGTATCAGGAACCCTGCGAGATGATCCAGGATCTGACAGGGCTAGCGTGGCGGGGCCTCCTCAGAGGAGCAGCCACCCCCACTTGTCAACCTCCTTTCCATCCCTTCCTTCCCTCAGGATGTGCTCCTGCCCTTCCTGCTCTCCCTGAGCATGCGGACTCTTCCCTCCCACCTCCCCAGTCCTTGACACTCACACCTTTTCCCAGGGCTGACTGGCAGGGAGTAGCGGTGCAGCCTCACCTCTCCTCTCCGTGTTGGGGAGTTCACTGTCCTTCGACAGTGTTCTCTTCTTGTTGAGTGGCCAGCCCTGGGACAGCTCCCTCTGTTTAACTGAAGATGCCTCCTTAGAGATAATCTCCCCTCTAGCTGGCTCCCAAAGTGGAAGTCAGAAAGTTGTAAATCTAAGGGACCCTGATGGGCTCCTCCAGAGCTGGCCTTAGGAACAGTGACCAGGACAGAGGCACTGTCATGGATGTTCCCTTCCTGCCCTCTGAGAGGCTGTACCTGGACTCTTGAAATGGCCTGGAAGCTCCTGCCCCCTCTGTGCATCTGAGTCTTTCACCTCCGAATAAGCCCCTCCCATCCCTGAGACCTGCAAGGTGCAAGAGAGATCGAATCACATCCCTCCACAGGGTATGGCCTCCCCACGCCCCAGGTAGGGCTCTCTACCCTCCGTCTGAAATAGCGTGGGAAGGACCCTCAGTCGCTTCCTCAACCTATTATTACTGACGACCTCATTCCCCTCCCTCCTTCTCTCCAAAGACCTTTTTAAATCAAAGGTTCCCATTTCCATGAAACCCCCCAGGAGGACTGGGCACCGCGCATCTCTCCCTACTGGGCCTGCCCAGAGCCTCTGAGTGAAAACTTGTTTTTGGGGGTCCTCCTGTGTCCGTAGTGGGGTAGCTCCTCCGTCCTCTGTATCAGCCTGAGGATGCCGGGAGAGAGCCCTGTGTGATCTTCCACTCTCATGATCTGAACTGAGACTCACCTGAGCACAGCCTTGTCCTCTTTCTCCCCTAGATGTCAGGGGACACCCTGTGGGTCACCATGCCTGTGGGCCTCCCGGGATGACAACCAGGTGGAGCTGGTTTCTGCTGTGGATCCTCCTGTGGGGCAAAGAAGTCTCTGCAGTTTTCCCTCAGGGCCTCATCACTGACTACTGGCTGCTCTGGGTCTTCTATCCTTCCCAAGATGACAGTTGCACTGGCTGCTCCTGGGTCTTCTATCCTTCCCAAGATGACAGTATGACACAGGGAAAAAATTAATGTGACTACCCTGAAGAAAACTGTAAAACACTACGTCACCATGGTGATTAAATTAACATCATCAATGACAAATTGTGTTGGTAGTATGTGCCTTCGGTACGATATGATAAGAATGGCACTTGTTTTCAAAATCAAGTGAAGTCTCAGTGAACTGGCACAGCCAAAGGGCATTTAAAGAGACATGATGAAAAAATGTAATGGAGTATCCGCAGGGGATCCTGGGACAGAAAATAGATTTTCAAGACAAGGAAATACATGTGAATTAAGTATGTTTGTTAATAAAGAAAGGATGTTTGTATAGGAATAGTACCAGCTCTTTTTTAATAACCACGTGTTAACTTACTCGCCTCTGAGATAATCCCGTCTCCAAATAATGCCACATGTTAATTTCAACATAAGACTTTAGTGGGGATGCAATTGAATCTGTAATAGTGGAAAGGGAATTGGCAGATCTATATGTATATTGTTACCCATGTGTAGTTATAAACACAGACATAAGCTCGTATATGCATAAATTTTATTTTAAAAAACACGTCTTTCTCAAAATTCTAAATCAGCTTTTAAATGTAAACACCACATGGTTAATTGTGGAAACTTCTGACTAGGGGGCTGAATTTCGGAGGAACTTTCCAAAGGGGAGAATTGTGATTTCTACCTCCTTTTAAAATATTTGCAATAAAAATATATGCAGTATTTATTTGTAAGGAAAGTATTGAAATAAGCCTAAGAAGAGGATGATGAGCAGTCTAGGAGGCAGATAAAGTCACAGTAAGCTCATGGAACAACAACAAAACAGCCTTGATTTTTACATGACTTAACACAACAAGTTAATTTTTTGTACAGAAATTCTGATTTTAGTTGGCAGGGTGTTATGGGCTGAATTTTGACTCTCCCCCAAAGTTCATCTATCCAAGTCTTCAAACCCAGTATCCCAGAACGTGACTGTATTTGAAGATAGAAACTTTGAAGAGGTAATTAAGGTAAAATGAGGTCTTAAGGTCAGGTTCATATTTAATATGACAGGTGTCCTCATAAGAAGTGCAGATTATGATACAGACACAGAGACCGAGGAAAAATCATGTAAGAATTCAGTGAGAAAGTGGCCATGAGCAAGCCACAGAGAGGCCGGGGAAGAAATCAAACCGTTGGTTAACATCTTGATCTCAGATATTGACCTTCCAGAAATGTGAGAAAATACATGGGTATTGTTGAAGTCACCCAGTCTGTGGTTCTGTGTTATGGTATAAGAAACTAACCGACAGCGGGTCCTGGCTTTCACCTCAGCCAAGAATCCAAGCTGCTTTCACCTTGTAGCTCCATGTCACAACAGATGTTAAGCGCTGAACAGAAACGAAAGCATGGGAGGGGTGCACTGGCTTCTGTCTAACTACAAATGAACCAGCCAGGAAGGTGAGCTAGACAAGATGGAGACGGGTGCTTGTCGTCTCTCCCATATGTTATTATGGTGCTTAATGAAAAGCAACTATTATAATTGATGACAGGAAGTCTCTTCATAGCTTGGAATTGTTTCTGGGAATGTCCGCATAGCCTTGAAATCTTCCAACTTTTTCTTGCACCTACGAGGTCACTGGTGGTTTCAAATACAGGATTACATCCAGTTTTAAAACAATTCTGTAAGTCTTGGCAGGGAGGGTCAACCTTATTCCCTCAATAGCACTTGGCACGGTCCTTTTTTTTTTTTTTTTTTTTTTTTTGAGACAGAGTCTCGCTCTGTTGCCCAGGCTGGAGTGCAGTGGCCGGATCTCAGCTCACTGCAAGCTCTGCCTCTCGGGTTCACGCCATTCTCCTGCCTCAGCCTCCCGAGTAGTTGGGACTACAGGTGCCCACCACCACGCCCGGCTAATTTTTTGTATTTTTTAGTAGAGACGGAGTTTCACCGTGTTAGCCAGGATGGTCTCGATTTCCTGACCTCGTGATCCATCCGTCTCGGCCTTCCAAAGTGCTGGGATTACAAGCTTGAGCCACCGCACCCGGCCGGCACTGTCCTTTTAATAACCTATATAATTTCTTCAGGCTGAGAATTCTCTCATATTTTTGGTGTATGGTAAATAATCTACCCTTTGAGCCTCTGCTACCCTGCATATGACAGAACATTCCTGAACAGCTATACATGTGCCTGTGGCTCACTGCAAGCCAGGATTTTCCTGTGGAGCAGGTACACACACAAGAGATAGTGGAAGGATGTTTAACTATTGTTTATTTCTCATCAGAGCTGGCATGTCCCCCAAAGTACCCTTGTCAACTCCTAGACAGTCTTCAAGATTTTGTTATTGTTTTTGCTTTTTTTGGAAATTTGCCTTCTTATAGATCATTTACAATGTGATGTCTATAGCCTTTCCTCATCCACAAAGTTTATGAAGGAAATATTGGCATGTGATCATCTACAAAAGCTTATTCATCTCTGTTTGTGTCCAGTGCCCTGTTTCAAATAATGCATCTCATTAAAATCATACTACAAGTATCAAATATTAGGAAGATTTCAAATAAGCTATATCTGACCTTAGGATTACATCCCTAAAACCCATATATTATGTGACAAGTCAGATTTCACTCTGCAGCCTGTTTGGTAATACGTTGATCATGTGTTGAAGATGCCCAGCCTAGGTATGGAAATGTCACTATCCAAAGTGAACAGTCACATCGAAAGGCCTTTATCACAGAGGAACCAGGAAGAGGGATGGATGAGTCAGGGAACTTCTGCAGGGAGTAGGAATGGTCTATCTCAGGGGAAGGCCAGGTGCTTCTAGGCTCTTGCGCTGAGAGTTGAGCAGCCACCTCCAGGCACTCTACACCAGGAGAAACAGGGGCTAGTCTCATATCTATTCTGGTGCACATGTGACTCCTCAGTCCTCACACTTCAGAAAGTGAGACCGTAATGAGAAGTTAGTCAGGAGGCCGGGTTCCAGAGTTGCGCAAGAGAGCACACAAGGGAGATCAAAAGGAGGGGCAGGGGCTGTAATGGGAAAAATTGCTGGGGATGGACAAATCTGCCAGCACCTGGACATTCAGCTCTCAAGAAACCTAGGGCTTAGAACAAGAGGACTTTAGGTAAAGAAAGCCAATAATGTTCCCTGAAGTGTATTTTATTCCCATTTGACCTTCCATCTTGCTGCCTAACTTAATACCTTAGCCACACAGTTCATCTTTATTTCACCTGAGAGCCATTAAGAAGTGTGAAAAGAAGTGATTTAACAGGCAAAGGCCTTCCTCAGGCTGGGAGGAGTGGGGACAGTGTGGGCCTAAATGAATTCAGACCAGGGCTCATGTCACAACCTTGTCATATTCTAGCTATGTGGTCTTGGGAATTTATCAAGCATTATGAGCCTCAGGTTCTTCATTTGCAAAATGAGTTTGATAAGCCCTGTCTTGTAGAATTGCTGGAATGTACGTAATGTGAATAACACACCTGCCACAGTGCCTGGCACATATTGGAATTTTCATAAATGGCAGTTATCAATGATTACCACACCAAAGGTTACTATCTTTTGTGAAATGTTCAGCTCTTAGTTTTGTATCCCAAACATCTGAGAATATGTAGGCGAATGTGTCATGGAATACCAGCTTAACCAAAACTTTGGCTTCATAAATAAAACTCAGTACATTTTTTTTCTGAAAGGGTATATTGTATAATTTGGAAAAGGCAAGGCATCTTCAGCTGGAATGCAACTCAAAGATGCTAGAATTTGAGTCAAACACCAACTCCTTTATACCTTCCCCATTGCTCATCCTTCCAAACCACTATTTTTATTTATCCTCCAGTAAAAATCTAGCCCTTGCTTACAGTTGCCCACATTACAACTGAAAAAACCTAATTAAATGTCTTTCAATAGAGTAGGCTCTGGTTCTCCCAAGCCAGACAATTAAGTGCCAGCCTAGAGGCTTCTGAGCAACACTTCAAGGGATTATCGCCCTATGTCTCAGGAAACCCTTGCAGATGATGGTTATCAATCACCTAGTTCTTGCACTGTGTTCAAGCTCACCAGTTAGAGAGCTGCAAGACACCTTCTATTAATTCCCCGTGTGGAGACTCCTCTCTGCCTCATCCTCCACCATAAGGAACTACTCAGAGCAGTTTTCCATTCCAGGTTTTTCTATCACCTTCTGAGAGTCTGGGCCCTGCCACCACCCAGCTTCATAACAATCAGCTCCCACAGAAGCACCAGAAGTTTCCCGAAGGGCAAAACTGTCATAGCTCTGGGCCTTTTTACTTGAAGGCTCTATCTGGAGTTTCACCTCCCCACTCGTTTTTAAACTAGTTTTTATGATTCTATAGAGGATCTTACCACGCTCCTGATACGGCTTCTGAACCTAGACTCTAACATTTTATGGGTGGAGATAAGTCTTGGTTTTTATAGTATCCTCACGACTAAGAGCATGCTCCACAAGCAACTGCTCAAAGAATGTTTAGCAAATAGTCACTGAGGCTTTTATTCATTAAGATTTCATTTCTGCTACTTTCTTGAATAAGCCAAGCAAAGCCAGGTATATATCCTTAATTTGGAGGCACAACAGAGTAACATGATAAGGATATGCAAATATCAACCATACTTTATTCTGTTCCACCATTTAACTGCAGAGTTATTTCAAATTTTAAAGAAAATTCTTATCCGAACACCACATTATATTGTTTCAGTTCACAAAATAAGACAGATTTTCCCTTTGTTTCTTATGAAATATCAAACTCTCTCTTAAATCAGACAAACAGCAATACAAGTGTGAATAATATTCATAAACTAAGATTCTGAAGTGAATTAAACCAATTGGAAGGAGAAGCATTTGTAAAATATACCCCCCCACACAAAAAAATGTTAAACTCTTAAGTCACTCATAGGAAACAGAAACACGAAAAACACTGTGGTCCCTCCACCTCCACTCTGGACCCCCACTGCCTAGAACCTCGTCTGCCATCTTCAAACACAGAGGGGAAATCTGCTTCAGACATCACTCAGGACAGACGTTGGTGGACGTGACACTGGGGCTTGCACTGGCCGTGGCAGTAGCATCATCTGTGGTGTCAATTATGGCCTGGGCTCTGTCTTCCACATCTTTCAAAGCATCCATGTACCCGGATGGAAACGAACTAGGGATGATACTGGATAGCTTGGCTAAAAACTCTAGGACTTTTCTCTTGCTGGCCTCTGAATGGGCTCTTGGACCCCACAAGAATTCATAACGTGGAGGAGCACTGTTGGGCACCTCCCGGTACTCCAGAAACTTTCTCTGCACCCAATCTATAGTGAGCAGCTTTCTAGGATTCCCATATATAAAGTGCTCCCTCCCAGCACACACCCCTATTGCACTCAACACTTCCCAGAGGACCTCCTCAGGGACACAGCTGCCCTTTATGGAGATCATACTGAGAATAAGAATCAGGAGACAGTTCTGGGGCATGCCCTGGTCATCAATCAGGCTCCCCTCATAGGTGAGGCCTAATCGGTCTTCAAAGAAACAGGAGTGGTTGTCGGGGTCCATCTCAGTCAGGGCAATGCCAAAAATTAGCTCTATGAGCTCACGGGCTTTCCCGAAGATCATAGGAAAATAGTCGTTATACTGCTTGATGGCAGTCGCCAGCATCTCTGCCTTTGGGACAGGCTCTTTTGTTTGATATTTGAGGAGAAGAAACTGCATCAACTCAGCCACCTTTTCATCCAGGGCATACCTGGGCAAGGATTCACTTTCTGGCAAGGCCTGCCAGGTAGCTGTATCCTCCTCTTCTTCACTGCTGGACTCCTCATCCAATCGGGTCCACAGAAGAGGGGATGAGCAGGAGTTTAGAGGACTCTGGGGAGGACTCTGTGGAGGACCCTGGGGAGAGATCTTGGGAGGACCCTGGGGAGGAATCTCAGGAGGACTCTGGGGAAGAGGTGGCATCCCAGCAGCAGGCATATCCTCATCTTCTGGAGCACCCAGAATCAGAGTAGAGGGTGAGGATGAGGAAGAGGAAGAGGAGGAGGGGAATGAAAAGTGGAAAGAGGAAGGGGAAGTGGAGGAGGCATCCTCTTCTTCCTCATCTATGGAATCCTGTGCATCTACCAAGTCCTGTATCACACTGGGGTTCGGGAAGTCCGCCTCAAAGCTGAGGCCTGGAAGGGTTGGAAAGAGAGGCATGAGACCTGTTGTTCAGGAGCAGCAGGTAAACAGGAGCAGGGATGGGGATGACAGGATCCCACAGGCCTGAGGAAGAGAGTGACAGTGTGAGTGGCTTCAGCTGAGAAACTCATCTATGATGGCTCTGACAAAGAGCGGCTTACAGCTCTTCTTCTCTTAGGGTGGTGCTCTAGGGCCTGACAGGTCTCCTGTCTTCCTAAGAGGTTTATTCCCTCAGAATCTGTAGGAGGATGGGAGAAAGCACCTCGGGATACAGATGCCAGGCAGAACCACAGGCTCCGGGACTGACAGTAGGTGGGTAGGGCCGGGTGCTGTGGGGTCTCCCCTGTTTGCGGGGGTAGGGCCCTTGGTACACAGTCAGGGTGTGCACTCACTTTGACTCCTGGCACTGCCTGGGCCTCCTCTGCGGTGCTGGTTTTAGGAAGTGGGCCTCAGACCCAGGTCTTCAACTGCTGGTTCCTGGAGCACCTGCAAGAGGAAGTGAGGGAGCCTCTCAGGCTAAAGAGTGCAAGCAGAGCCTTGGGCCTCCCAGGGCTGACACCTGGGGCTGGCCAGACACCCAGAGCCCCACAGTTCTGGACTGCATGGTCCCATCAGAATTGAATGAGCATCCTTACCTTTTCTCAGACAGGGCCATGTCCCTACCACTCTTCTGGCCTGAGCCCAAACTTCAGAGCAAACTCCACATCCTTGAGAGCAGTGGCAGGTGGTGAGGTGGCAGCCGCCTCCCAGCACTCTACCACGGGGGCAGTGGGGGTGGCCTCACATCTGTTCTGATGCACATGTGACCCCTCAGTCCTCTCTCTTATCCCCAGCAGGGCCTGGGAATCTTCCCTCTGCCAACTGGAGGCAGCTCTCCCTGATGACTTGCCATGGGACCCCCAGACCAAGGCCTCCTCCTCCCCTACACCCCTCACCCAGCAGGAAGGCAAATAAGTACCAGCCTAGAGACTCCGGCGGCCGCTCAGCCTGAGCTGGCAGGGAGCTCTACCAGGGCTGATTCTCGAGGAGCAGGGTGGGAATCTGTGGGAATCTGTCCTCTGAGGTGGGGGTTCCCCCAGTCCTCCTCAAAGTCTTCCTATTTATTCCCTAGAGGGCCAGCACCTCCTCCCTTCTTCTGTTGTGAGGATGCCACGGTCAGCCCCCAGCGGCCATCTTCCTGTCAGCGGCCTGCAAGTCCTACGGTAGGGCAGGGCAGACCGGGGCTGCTTCTCTCCTTGGTGAGAGGTCCCTCAGTTCTTCCTTAGGCCCTTTACCTTGAGGATTGGCCAGGTCTAAGACTTCCCTCTGCTAACCTGAGTCCAGACTCCTCACAAAATGCCTCAGGTCCTTCAGACTCCCACAATGCAAGTCGGGAAAACATGCCAGAACCCTGCCAAGGTTGACCAGGGTTGACAGGAGGGGCAGCGTGGGGCGGGGCCTCCTCTCTATGGAAAAACCACCCCCAACCTCTCCACCTCCTTCCACCTTTTCCTGACCACTTCCCCACACTCCACTTCTTCCCGCCCTCCTCAGCGCCCCTCCCAACCCTTTGTGCTGATCTTCCTACCCCCTCCCACCCCTTCCTGCCACCTCCCAGTCCTCTTTCACCACTTTCTCCCCTCCTCCCTGTCCCATCCCACACTTTCCCACCCTCCTCCCATTCCTCTTTCACCACTTCCTCTGCTTCTCCCTGCCCCCTCCCACTCCTTACCACCCTCCTCCCTGCCCTCTTCCACCCCTTTCCACCCTCCTCCCTGTCTCCTCCCACCCCTTCCCGCCCTCCTCCCTGACCCCTCTCTCCCCATAATGCCCACTTCCCCGCCCCTTCCCACCCTTTCCTGTTCACCTTCCACCCCCTTTCGCCTTTTATTGCCCACATTCCAACCACTCCAACACCTTCCTGCCCACCTTCCCACTCCCTCCCACCTTTTCCTACCGACCTCCCAACTTCCTCCCACCCCTGGGGCCTACCAACCTGCCCCTTCCACTCCTTCCTGCCTACCTCCCCACTCCCACCTATTCCTGTCCACTTCCCAGCCCTTCGCCCACCTCTCCCTGCCCACCTCTCTGTTTCTGCCTCTCCACCTCTTTTGTCCAGAGGTGACAGCAAGGAGTGGCTGGGCGACACCTGGGCCTCCCCTCCATGTTGGGAGGTCACTGTCCTTCCATAGAGTTCCCTTCTTGCTTGTTGGCCAGCCCCAGGCCTCCTTTCTCTGCTTAACTGAAGCTGCCCGGTGTCTGAAATGAGGTGAGAAGGCCCCTCTGTCTTCCTCAAGGTTTTACTCCTTCCAGGGCCTGCACTCCCCCCTTCTCCTGTCCAGACAGCAACAGTTGTTCTGTCATCCTCTAAAATCCATTCCAAAACCTTCTACTTTAAGTACTGCTGTGTGTGAAGTTAATATAATCTCTCTCCTAAGCTATGTCAAAGGCTCCCTTCATTTTGCTTCTTTTCCTATCCTTGTCCCAGAAAAATCCATTGTCTTTTCAGCAGCCTATGTGTGATCTTTTTTAAAAAATTATTTTTTAAATCTTATTAATATAATGTTATTAATTTTTATTATAATTTTTATTAATTTTAAAAATACACTCATCAGATTTAACTATTATGTGAAACTGTATGTATTTTGGCAAATGCATGGAGTTCCATATCTGCCAACCAAGTGTCACACTGACCAGTTCCATCACCCGAAAAATCCCCTGTCCATCTCTTTTGAGGTCAGTCAAGGCACTTCTCCAAAGATTCTAGCACCTATGCTCTGTTTCCAGTTCATACAGTTTTAACTTTCACAATACGTCATATGAGTAGGTTCACAAAACATGGATTTAAAAGTGTGGCTGTATCATTTTTTATCTCAATTAGTAAGAAATGAGAATTCCTTTTGTTGCATAGCCCCTCTTACATTTAGTATTTGATTTTCAGATTTCAGCCATTCTAATAAGCCTGTGTTTGAATCTCCTTTGGTTTTTGTTTGCATCTTCCTAATGACAAATGACGTTGGTCATCTTTTTTCATACGCCTTTTTCTGATTGGTATATTCTCTTCAGCAAAGTATCTGTTCAAATCATTTGTGCCTTTTTAAAAACTAACGGACATCATTTTCAGAGCATTGCTAATCCAAAAATACAAAGAGAAAACTTCATCAAAGTTACAGAGTTCCTACATACCTCTGCCCACCTATTCCTGCCCTGCCCTATGCACACGCACACACACACACTGTGTCTCCTATTATTTATATTTTGTATTATTATGGCATGTTTGCAACAATTGATGGACCTGTATTGATATTTCATTATTAGGTCAAGTCCACAGTTTACATCAGGAATCACTCGACGTTGGGGATGCTATAGGTTTTGATAAGTGTGTAATGGTGAATATTCATCATTACAGTATCACACAGACTTGTTACACCATTCTAAATCTCCTGTGTGCTCCACCTATCAATCCCCCTTGCCCCAACCCTAACCTCTCAGCCTCTGGAAACCACTGATATTTTTAGTGTATTCATAGTTACCTGTTTCTGAATATTGTATGATTGGAATAATACATTATGTGGCCTTTTAAAATTTTCTTCTTTCACTTAGCCTTATGCTTTTATGATTCCTCCAGGTCCGTCCTACCAACAATGACTGAAAGTTCCTGTTGCTCAACATACGGGTCAACATTTGATGTTTTAGTGTTTTGGATGTCAGCCATTCTCCTGGGTGCAGAGTGCTATCTACTAGGTGGTTTAATTTGCAATTCTCAAATGACATATAAAATTGAAATATGCTCATTTTAAATTCCTATATATTCATTGTTTGTGTACCTGTTTATAGTTTTTGTCCACTTTAAATTGGGTTTTCTATTTTCTTATGATTGGGTTTCAGCGTTTTGTGCGTATTTAAATATATATCTTTTATCAGATATGTGTTTCACAAAACATTTATCCCAGTCTCTGGCTTGTCTTTTCCTGATCTTAACAGTGACTTTTCAGAGTAAAAGTTTTTAGTTTTAATTAAGTCCAATTTATCTCTTTTTTCTTAGGTAGCTGGTACTTTTAGTGTTGCATCTGAAAAAGTCATCATCAAAACCAAGGTTACCCAGGGTTTGCACCCATAAGTTTAACCAAATTTTGGTGTTACATCTAAAAAAGTCATCACCAAACCCAAAGTCACCTAGGGTTTGCCCCCATAAGTTTGGCCAACATTTAAAACTCTGATAAAATATGTTTGTGAATAAATGAATCATTTCCCCATAGACAATTATGGGGAATAATAATAATTTCCTCTGTTAATGTGAGAGAATTAATTGGTGAAATATTTTAGGAAAAAAGTCAGTAACATTTAAAAAATGTAAAATATTCATACTGACTCAGTTTCCTCATTAAAATGCATTCCTTATAAGTAATTATATGTACTTGTCCCAGAATTTATGCTCAGAGATATTGATTGTATTTACAAGAATTATAGCCACAAAAGATAAACAAATATTTGTTCATCAGAAGATCTGTTCAATTCGTTATTGCACAGAAATAAATTAGAATTCTAGGAAGTAGTCCCCAAAGTAAGATGGATCTATTAACATTTGTGCTGTCATGGAAAGATCTTGATCCATTTCAATACGTGATTATACTGGCATGTTAGGGATGTCATAGCAATGTACCACAGCTGGGATGACATAAACAACAGAAATATATTGTCTCACAGTTTTGGAGTCTGGTAGTCGAAAAGCAAGGTGTATACAAGGTTGATTCCTTCTGAGGGCTGTGATGAAAAGTTGTATTCCAGGCCTCTCTCCTTGCCTTGTAGATGGCTGTCTTCAGTCCATATCTGTTCACATTATCATCCTTCTACTCATATCTCTATGCCCAAATTTCCCCTTTTTAAAATGACTCCCATCATATTTGATTAGGGCCAGTATTAATAACCTCGTTTTAACTTGATTGCCTCTGAAATAATCCTATCTCTAAATAATGTCACATTTTTAATTTCAAGGTAGAATTTTAGGGGAATGCAATTGAACCTGTCATAGTGGCAAAGGCAAGTGGCATACTTAGATATATATCATTACTCATGTTTAGTTATATTTATACACACACATATATGCATATATATTTTTATATATGTATATATAGGCATATATATACACACATATACATTACCACATCTATCTTTTAAAAACTTGAAATTAGCTTTTAAAATGTACACACCACATTGTGGAAAGTTCTGAGTAGGGGGCTGATTTTTGGAGGAAATTTGCAGAGAAGAGAATTGTGATTTCTATGTATTTTTATTATTTTTTTGCAACAATAATATATGCAGTATTTATTGGTAAGAAAAGCATTAAAGTAAGCCTAATACAAGGAAGAGGAGCAGTGTAGTAGTCAGATAAAGTAACAGTGAGCTAATGGAATGAAAACATCTCCTGAAATTTAAGTGGTTTAACACAACAAGTTTATTTTTGTGCATATAAATTCTGATTTTAGTTGGCAGGGTATTATGAGCTGAATTATA